AAATCCCATACTCTATCTAAAATCATGGCGTTAGCATCTGAAAAAATGTTTTTAATCAGCCCATAGTGACTTGTCATTAAATATTGTTCGATCATGTATCAAAAACACTCAAACAGTATATTCACATGTTGTATCTTCATACTAACTTTTTATTACTGTGTTGAACAGCTAAATTTGTACTATTCGAATCTATCCAAGAAAGCTTCTTTTATTTGTATTTCCGATGTTTTAGATCAAAAATATGATTCGCAATCATTTTGTCGTTGGTAGTATTGTTTATTTTGTATTTCCTTTATATGTTGTTATTATTTAGACGTATTCATGTTGTTGAGCAATCGTTTATCTCCATACTGATTACCAATATTAATAATATTACGATACAATACAGATTTTACTCGATTTTTTTGTTGCAATTACTTTTATGAAATTTCATTCTAGGCTTTTGCTATACTTTTGTTAAAAACAAATTTGCTGTATGGATGTGGGTGTTTATATAGAATATACATACCCATATCCGAACGAATAACAAAAATAAAAGCAATTGACATGTCCAATGTAGACATTTAACTTTGCTAAACTTTCTATAATCTGCTATCGTGAATATAGATGGATGACTTGAGATGCCATTATTCATCTCTACTAAACTTACACCGAAACTTCAATGTTAAAAATCTTAGAGAAAGAGTGACAAAAGTAATGTAATAGACAGTCATGAAAGCATCCTTGTATTAGAATTTAATATGTATTTAATAATTTTTGTCTTACAAGTGATATCGAATTGATGCGAGTTTTGTTATATATGCCATTAAAAGAAATCAAATTAAAACCGATACAAAATGCATTCCATTTTATGTTAAAGGAAGTTTGATGAGTGGAAATTCTGGTTGTTGTTCTCTCAGCTGAATAATTTGAATGCCATTTCCTTGATCAAGACAGTCAATAACTTTAAATTGACGAGCTGGAAGGAGCAAAACTTCATCCTCTTCAGCATAATATGAATGTGATCGAATATTTTTACCCGAATCACATTCAATGCTGAAGAGAGTTCTGATCCCTTCCTTTCCCAAGAAGTTTTCATTCTTAAGTGTTTCAATTGATACAGTACATGAAGAGAAACCCCACCAAACAATTGTACTTCCTCGAGAATATTCACCAGATAAATCCGATTTGACACCTCGATAAACAATATGATGAGTTGATGGAAGTTTTTGAAGAGCATTGATGATGAGTCGAAGATATAAAAACCATGGTTTTAGCCGTTCACGAATGCTTGCTCGTAGAGCACTGTTAAGTGCAACATAGAAAGATTTCTCATATGGTTCCCATTCCATTGTATAAAGCATGATAGATGCAGACTCATCAATACTTAAACCATCTTTTGGATCAATACAATTCTGTTTAACAATCCAAACCATTCGTTCAACATCTGGAATGAGCGAGACAAGAGGACTGATAGCCTCTTCAAGTGAAACCAGTGGCATTATCTCAAATCCTTGAATTGGTAAAATCATTTGCTTTGGTTCACCGGTTAGGTCAGAAAATCGGTGATTATGATTTTGTTGATTAACATTCTTAGATGTTGCATCGGAAGTTTTACCTCAATAGAGAATATATATATATGTCTAATAAATAACCAACCATCTATTTGATAATTAACAAAAATTGTTTGGACTATAACTGTCAAAACTGAATGTCAAAAACAAACCGAACTTCTAGTTTAGGTATAGTTCATTTGCGGTTTCAAGCGTAACACATTAATGTATCGTCTACATACGAGATAAAAGTTTAGAATAGTTTCAAACAGATTCAATACCTTGCTGCAATATTCTTTCGAACAGAAACTGCACTTATACACTTAAAAGCGAGAATAATAAATATTAGAATTTCGATATAACATTTTGTTTATAGATAGGTCAAATGATCCATAAAGCATTCTAAAAGTGTAATCTAAACGAAATTTGCATTTATTGAGATTCTGAATTTCCAAAAACTCATCATTTGCTGCAAGTATTTTATGAAAATCAAATTTACTTAAAAATTGAATGTCTCGGCAAAATAATATTGCTTTTTATTGAACTTTTCATAATATTCTATGAATAATTAAACCTGTCTATGGAAGAAATCTTTTTCCAAATTCTTTATAACTGACGCGACAGTTCAGCAAAACAATCGTAAATTGACTTCAAGAGTCCATTAAGACCAATTCTTCTATACTTTTGGTAATCTCACCAAACTCTTCTTATGGATCTTATATTAGATGAAACAATAGGCGTTGATTCATGCTGTTAACTAGAAAACGATTCGAGATCTATACTGTCTGTAGAGAAGAAATTTTCTTGACAGATAGAATTGGTTCGTGAGTCAAGTTCTATATGTCAGACTAATCGTTATACTAAAAGAGTGTATAGTTTATTGCACTCATTCATTTCTCATAGATTTTAATTTCAAACGATTTTGTAAAATCCTGGAAAACATTTTCAGAGTAAGTCACTGAGAGACTCAGATATCCACGATGGAGATGCATCTCAGAATTCGCTGGAATTTTCAACTCTATCAGATGAATTTTTCCTAGACAACGAATCAAAATGTTATCAAAATTTTTTGATAAGTTTTTTTCGCTTTTGACTTCTTATTTTTCTAATTATAACTATGGATGCAGTGTCCTTCTATACAGAAAAATGCAAAAGTTTTCATCGATCCTATTAGGAGTGCCGAAGTACTCATTTGTATGTATTTTATTAGCTAAACATTAGTCAATAGCATTTTATGCGACAACAAGTAATTAATTTAATATTTCTATCGATGATAGAAGACATCAACTTCTACTACCTAGGATATGTAACAACGATGAAAAATTTTGCATTTTTCTGTCTAGAAGAACACTGCGTCCATATTTATAATTGGACAAAATGAGAAATCAAATGTCTTATGAATCGAAATGAAAAAGTCACTTTAAGGAGAGAAAATTGCGTCAAAAGCGACAAAAAACTTACTATGAAAAAATTTGATAACATTTTGATTCGTTGTTTAGGAAAAAGTCATCAAATGGAGTTGAAAATTCCAGCGAAAACTAAACTGAGTATCCTCCTATAACGCATCCAAAAATCAGCAAATTCTGAGATGCATCTCGATCGTGGGTGTTTGAGTCTCTCAGTGACTTACTTTTCAGAATTTCAAGATGTGATTTTTCATCGCCGGCTTTAATAAATGAATCCATAGCTTCTTTATCTAAACCTTGACGCATTTGTGCATTAGCTAATATACTCCATACAGCAGGTTCATTACAACGTTCAGCAAATTCATAAGCTCGATCCAAATTTTTAATATGATCAATAAGTACTTGAATAGCTGATGTATTAACTTCAAATTTTTTATAAATTGAAAATGCTTCTTCATATAATTGATTACCAATAGCTATATTAGCTATATCTGGTGCATCATAATTTTCTAAATTATTTATATAATCCATAACACGTGAACGATCAGCTTTAATTGCTGTTAATATAAGTAGATTTTGTAAATTACTAAAAAAAACAAAACAACGTAAATTAAAATAAAGAATATTATCTTTTTCGTCTTACCGATGTTCACTGAATGCAGAATTATCAATAACAATTTTTTCTAATAATTCAATTAAATTATTTGGTAAATCAGCTATCATAAATGCTTTAACTGTAACAGATATTTCTTCTGGATCTTGTGTTTCAGCTACAGCGGTTTGAATAACTTGATTAATTAATGGTTGTCGATATTGATTATCTTCTCGCAAAACATATTCCCATAATGCTGGATCTTTACGACGAACCAAATAACGTGCTTCACTTTTAAATAAAGAATTTTCATTGCAAACCTAGAATTTAATTATATATTTTTAATTCTATCGCATAAAATAGATCAGATCGAAATCTATGTTCATATTTTTGATTTATTTAATCAACGATTAACACCTTTTTAGGTCATTAATCTCGATCGTGCACATTTCTACTCATGCTAATGTTGCGTTTTTCTCGATATGAACTAATCTATATAAACGATCTTGATCAGACAGTACGAATACAAAAAACATTTCAAATCATTTTTTGATCTTCATGATTTTTGAAATCAATGTCATCATTCCAAGAATTACTCTTGTTTTTTAATTGTTTATTAACTTACATTGACAAGTTCCATATCACAACCACCACGTTCATAAGCAACACATGCTAAATGTGGATCACGTTTTTCGCAATATTTTCCAACAACTCGACTATCATAATAAGCATTATCTCGAAGAAATTTTTCTGGATTGCTATTTGAATCAATATTAATTTTAGCTACTGCAGTATGAACACCTGGATCTGTACTACCATCATGAACACGTGTTTCAAGCCATGGTAAAAGTAATTCTATTCTAAATAATTCATCAATTGTTGGAAAATTTTAATAAAATATAAAAAAGAATTTCTACAAACCGATTTCGTTTTTTAACTTCTTCAACAAGTTCATCAACATTAAAATTACCACGTACAGAAAGAATTAATTGTTTTATACTATCTTCACTACAATCGACATCAAGTAAACCACCAACAACAACTGGTAAACGACCTGGATTGATCTAATGAAATAATACAAAATGAATATAATTTTTAATATTAGAGAAAAAATAGAAACAGCGAAAAAAAAAAGTCTTGATCATACTTGTTGAACATAAATTTCAATATTTTCCATTAAATTATTTCGATATAAATAAAGAACAAGATCATGAACAAAATTAAATCGATCACAAACAATAATTAATGGTAATTGATCAGTTAATTTAGTTTCTTTTAAAAAATTTTTAACACGTTCAGGATCATAGCAATTTGATTCTCGACAAATACGTTCAACTTCTTTTATCTGACCAGTTTTACATGCTGCTTGAATATATTTAAAATGAACATCTGGTTCTTGACTAAAATTAACAATTGAACCAAGAAAATAAAAAAGACCTAAAACAAAAAAAAAATAAAAAAATATACAATAAAGAACAATTCAAATTTGTTTAAATTCTCAGGATCATTAAACTATTTTGAAAATTTAATGAGCTGTTTTTATAATCCATTTTTCTATTGTCTGGACGTTCGACGTGTCACAATGAGGATATGACACGAGCGATACAGGCAGGATCGAACTTATTCAATGATAGTTTTAACAATTCGACTAAAATAATTTGATGATAAATATCCATGAGAATTACACTTGATGTTAGCTATTATTTTCTTAAGATAACTATGAAAAATATCATTATGAGAATTTAAAAATTGATTTTTATTTTTGACTTATATGAATATCATGGATGTATAGTTCTTTGACGAGAAATAACTACCTCGTAAATTAGAATTTTCTATGAATAATAGAGGTAAGTTTTGCGTTTATTACAATATTTTAAATACTTCAATTCAAATGAAAATATTCAATATTGAACTGTTTTATTTTTCAAAATTCAACATTTGATAAAATTTTATAATTCGAGTTTTGTTCCTATCGAATCACTATGTTATAGACTAGAATCTCGATGAAATAATTCTAATTCCGAAAGTAGATGTATACAAATAAGTAAACAATTTATCACTTTCGAAGAATAACCATCATAAAGACAAAAAAAAAACTCAGTTTCACGTTGTAAAAACAATACCATTTCCATGTATTCAAATCTCTACAGACAGAAATTAATTCCCACATATCCTGTAGGAAAAAAAACGATTTCTCATCACGAAATCTTTAAAGTCAATATGTGCTCTTACGGGTCATAATGCGCAAATCGACAAGAACAGAATGGAGACTAAAACCAACATCATTAATCAAATGATTGAAAAAATTTCGAATAAAATAGAATTTCAAATAGTTAACATTTTGAAAATCAAATTTTCGAAAATGTCCTCACGTTCTATTATCACTTAGATAGTTTGATGAAAATCATTTATTTGATTGTCTCGCGAGAAAAAGAAATTGTTTTTCGTCAGCAAACGCTAAAGATGATGATGGATGAAAAGAAGAATAAAAACTATTGCACTTAAACAACGAACTCGTTTACTTCGATTGCTATTTAAACAAAATGAAATAAGTCTTGGTGATCTTCTCGAGTGACTTTCTGTGTTAAGTGGAACAAGGGCATAAACTTTTCTTGTTAACCTTTTTACGATTTTTCTATTTCGTTATTTTATGGTCATAGATTTGTAAAAATAAAATATTAAGTACAAACACGTGTTCTTTGATTATCACATAGATATCATACGTGCTGTAAACCCTTTCGAGAATTGTTTTTTTTTAATATCAAACCGATTGATCTTGTTCATGTGTATTTTTTCGTCAGTTCTCTATAAGAATCTCTCTCTAATATATCTCATCGTTTTCTGGTAATGATAAGAAATAGTTTTTTTTATGATCCGTAGACTTCATAAGTTTATATCGATCTGTTTTACCTTCATCACTTTTGAATGATTCAAATAGTTCAATAAGTTTTTGTGTTCCTAATTGTTCATGATATTTAGTTGCAATTTGTACAACAACTTGTAAATTTTGATGAATATTTGCTTCAAGCATCGCATTTAAACATTCAGGACAATCATCAACTGATAATCGACCAAAATAATTAACAAGCCACTTAAAATAAGATAAAAAAGTTTTTTGTTTTACATTTGAAAAAAAAAATGTTTTTGAAATCAATATTTACTTCTGGATTAAGTAAATGTGTATGTACGACAGCTCGTTTAATATCAGATAAATCTGTATAATGTTCAAGTGCACGTTGAAGTAGACCAGCTTTTTCACATAATTGTGCAATATGTGGTCGATCATAATGTGTAAACATATTATTACCCAAAATAGCATCAGCAACCTTTTTGTTAGCAAAAAAAATTTTGTTTTAAAAATAAAGAAAAAAAAAAAGCAAAATAATAAATTTTTACTTGTGGTCCTTGCATTAAATTCATTTCTAATAAACGTGTTTGTAAATGTCCTTGATCTTCTCGATTATTTTTTAAAGCATCAAGTAAAAATGCTGTACATTGTTGAACAAGATTTTGTTCAAGAAAAACATCAACAATTTGTGTTAAATCAGCTAATGGTTCATTATCTTGAACAAGTAACTATTATAGAAAAAAAAAACAACAAATATCATAAATATTTTTTTTTTTAATTTTAAATAAATGTTTTTATTTTTTGTCTTACTTGTGCAAATTGAATACCTTGTTCAGGATTAACTCTCATTATACTTCGTAAAAGATAAATATAATCCGGTTGATAATTAACTTTTTTAGCATAGAGAACTATTTTTTGATATTGACCTGTTTCAGCAAAACATTGAATAACTTTCATTGGTATATTAGCACGTAAATAGACTGATAATGCTAATGTAGAATCAACTGTTTTAACAAGATCACCTAATTGTTCACTACATTCAAGCTAATAATAAAAAAGAAAAATAATAAGAATTTTTTTTTTTCGTTTTCAAAAATTAGATTATTTATTTATTTACTTTATCTTCTTTTAACCATTTTTCTAATAATTGTTTTTTTCCTTGCATTACAACTGGTTTACATAATTCAATTGATTCTTCTTTATTTAATTTACTTGATTCTAATAAAATACTAAAATATTGAAGTAATGGTGATGGTTGATTTGCTTGTGGTGGTACACTTTGAAATTGTTGAATTGTTTGTTGAGTACGAAGTATTCCCTTAAAACAATACATTCATCATTATATTAATCTTAACTTTAAACATGCAGATATGTACATAATGTCTATACCTGTGACAGCTCAGTCTTTTTTTTTTGGAGGGAACTGGATCTCAGTGTTTTATCTAGCATTGGCTTCCGAAATCTTCAATCGTTCATCCGGAAGAGAAAATTTGAATGAAACACTGCTAGGTCTAACGACCATTTCTTTTCATATGAGCTGTGTATACTGATGATGGTAATGTAGTGATTCTATTCAGTAACTGTCGTAGTTGTCCAAAAAAACATAAGACTGGTTATCAGTTCCTCAATCGTGAATTATTACAGATCTAATCATATATGGATATCTCAAGAAATGAATTATTAATCATTAATGAAGATCAAACACATATGTGATGATAAACTTTTCATTATATAAAAATAACTTTAGGTAGATCTTTGTTTATAATAATAATAATAATAATAACCACCCACACCCCAATTTAATTTGTCTAAACGAAGACCAGATAACACACTTGAGAAGCGTATGTTATCGTACCTATTCTAGCCGTCATAGCTAAGTGACTACGGTGTTCGATACGTATCTACAAGGTACTGTCTGCAAACATCAGTAACACAAACTATGGAATGATCATGGATAAGTCACTAATAGCTATGTGTCTCAGATCACCCTGCTGATAGTAGGTTGACTACGTTGTGACATAGAGCTACTCTTGTGGTTAATAAGTATGCATGGAAAGCTCAAGTAATTGAGTGGAAGAACTTTGCGTCAGGCAGACTTTCTGTCTGGAGCTACAGCTAGTCATAGTTGTACGGAAGATATCGTGGTAGTCTTCTTCTTACGCACCTATCCTATTAAGAATGGCTTTCTAAAAACAGCAGAAGTTTCTATTTAAGGTATTTTCATTAGAAAAACAAATAGAAAAGACTTAAGATGATTTTTGTTTTTCATTTTAATAGATGGTTTGTAACAGTAATAAAATGACGTAATTATTTCGAATTCCACAACAGCAACCATCTATTTCGGCATGTACTTTATTTAGATTTTCTATTTCACTTCAACAATTTTCTCGTAAATTTCTCACTTGTAAAATGTCATAATGAAATCTTCATTATATTTATATCAAATTTTCTTTGTTTTTTAATCATATCTATTATTAGAATTTGTAATTCTCAAGATATTGAAAATATAAATCGAATATCTATATCTAATATTTACTCGTGGAGCTGTAGCAGCAACTTTAGCTGCTTCACTATAATTTCCACTTTGAAATAATTGTGAAAATTGTGCAACAAATAATTGATCAGCACCTGGTAAATTACATCGTGCTGACATTTTATAAGCAAGTTCAGGATTGTTTAATGTATTTTGAATATATGAAACAACATTATCTTCATCAATGCTGACTGAAAGAACCTTTTAACAAAAATAAAAATAAATAAATCTGCAAAACAAATATTATTCTCTTTACTTGTCCTTTACGATTAACAGCAATAATGCCAGATGTTGGTTCATATGGTGCTGTAACAAACGTTGTATCAGCACTAATACGATTCATATAAATAAGTGTTCCACTTTCAATATCAAATATGTGTACATAACCATATTTTGTAACTAAATAAATAACGCCATGTTTAGCTGATGTTTGCATAGCAACTGGAAAATCATTTGGTGCTTCAGCTGGAAATTGAATATCAGTTGCTTTATTTTGAAATGGTTGATTATCTGGTGCTGGTGTTCCAATTTCAATAATATGAAGCTAAACAAGAAATTTTAATTTTAATAAATATATAAATTTCTATTACTTTTCCTCCTTGTGGTCCTCGAACAGCAAATGAAAAAAGTGTTGATGGTTTTTTATTTTCATTTAATTTAAATTGTGTAAATGCAGCAGCATGTCCTTCAATTGGTTGTAATACTTTACGTTCAACAGAATAAATTTGCATATGACCAACAACACGACTATCTTGTGCTTGAATACCTAAAAAACAAAAACAATCAATCAATGATAAATTTTCCAATAAGAGATTTTTATTGTTCTTTTTTTTTTTATCTTACCAATAATAAGTAACCATTGTAATGATTCATCTGTACGATAATTAATTATTTGACAACCAACTAAACTTTGATGACGATCAAACATTTTAACTGGTTGACTATCACCTTCCATAGACCAATGATAAACAGATGTTTCAGTTATTATACCTATTGTATTAACACTAATCCATTTCCAAAAAATACAGTCTTCTGTCATATTAAATGTTTTCATTCGACTACGTAATTCAATATTAAAAATTTGTAATGTTTTACCAGCTAATTAGAAACAAAAAAAGGTATTTAGTTTTTTGAAAAAATGATTTTATTTACCTTTTAATGCAATAACTTTACTTGTTGGATTCATAATGGCTGAATCAGCTGTAATTGGTCGTTTAATTGGATTATTTGGATCAGCCATATCAATAATAATAACAAAAGCTGTATCATTAACTTTTTCACGTACACAAATAAATTTATCAGATTCCATCGTAAGTGAACTAAATCCAATATTGGTAACATTAATACCAATATTTTGAAGCTAAAAAAACTTATTATTCAAATTCAAAGTAATAATGATCAAAAAATTCTTTACTTGTAAATGTTCTTGAAGTTTAATCGGTAATAGCCCTGCCATGTTGATGATCTTGAAGATGAAAAAAGTAAGACGGAAAATTTACCTGTTTTATTTTTCTCAAAGAGCGGGTGTGAATGTATTCTATGTTATTTATCGAACAGGGGTGGCGCTTTATCTTTACCCGATAAAGTAAAGTGAAGCATCTCTAACTCTATCAAACAAGTGAGACATGGTAAAATAAGATAAAGGAGAGCATGTAGTTGATGATTATTCATTTTTTTAGTTTATGAGCACACAATAATCACACTCTAATACGTTAAAAGTCGCGTCGAATCACGGATCAAAGGCTCCGAAAAGTTAAAACTTGATTTTATTGCTTTGGCAGTCAGCATCGAACTCTGAATATTCTTCTTAATTCTGTATTCCACATAATCACAACTCGAATTTTGATACTTGAGGTTTCTTAAGGTATCGAAAACAAATTTTCTGTCTTTCAAATCACAAGTATTTATAATTCAATAGCACTTATTGTGCAGATTACAAATATCTCATTTATCTCTAAAAAGTGACACGATAGTTGAGTCTCGAACATGTGAACGTGAATAGTTGAATGTACTCATTAGAGCCCTAGATACTTGAATGTCTTGACAGTCGATGCTATTGTCTTTTGAGTCCCTTCACATTTTAAGTAAAACCATCAAACCAATGAAATATTTATTACAACTGAGGTATGGGTGCACTTGAAGAAGAGATTAACATCCACACCCAAAAATCAATTTATATAGAAAGAAGATAGAATTAGATACACGAAGTTGTTTATAAAGAATAATGATTTGTTTTTTTGACAAATTAAATCTCATTTCCTTTCAGTGAATATCTTTGAAAATTTTCTCATTTATTTTTATCAAGAATAACGTAATTTGTTGATGAATTAAGTGGCATCAGTTGG